TATATATACCTATTTCACATAATCATACTTTGTAATATATACATATATATATTTTAAATTTTATTACCTTTAAAACGCTTATGTTTTTAAATTATAATTACAATTTGAGATTAATATAATTAATGTATTTGAAAATAAGTGGAAATAGCCAAAAGATGACGGACCAATCAAAAGTGGCTTTTTCGTGACCAGTCTCTGATTGTAGTGTTTCTACCTCGGCCCTTATTGGATATCGCTCGTCGCTCATCATGTTTAGTGTGAAAGAGCCCTTAAACGGCTGGTATTCATAGCTGTGTTTCGATATTCACTGCTAGTACTAAAAATATATAATTTAGGTTACGTATAGATTTTCAATACTGGCAGTGAATTTCGAAATGCAGTCATGGTCGATTCTTATTTTAAGACTTTAAAGTTTTGTGTCCATGATGCTAGAAATAGGTTCAAGGATTTCGGACAGAAAGAGAATTGACCAATTACATTAGTTAATTGGCTAAATTATTCAAACATAAATAGTAAATTCTTTTTTCATCTAAGATTTTAGATCAATTTCTAGTATCATGGACGCAAGACTTAAGTTTTAAATCTGTTTAAATTGCACGCAGCAAGCGGTAAGCAGCAACCAATCAACAAAGAGATGTTTTTTAAAATTTAAGCTTTAAGATGCTAATACGGCTCTGTGAATAGTTGATAACTTCTTAAGACAATACTTAAGCAGTCTTAAATATAAAAGTGTCTTTTCATGCTGACGCTTGACGCTCATTTTTATCAACTAGATCACGTAATCAAAAATGACCATTCAGATTTCACTATTCAGTTTAATTTTGATCATGTGATGTGGGGAGTCAATCATGTAACTTTATGTGAAATTTTTTACTTTTCATTTTTCACTTTTTACTTTTCATTTTTCACACCTTGAGGTCAATCATGTAACTTTACGTGAAATTTTTCACTTTTTAAAATTTTTCAAATTTTTCATTTTTTATACCTTGACATTTCACGTGAAACTTTTTATGTACAGCGATTATATATGTAACTTGGATGCGTAGAAAGTGAAATCATGAAACATAGTTTCATAGGTTTTTATAGCTAATGAAAATTATTTTATTGGTACAGTATTATATACATCTTTTAATAACCAATTGTATATGTACTACATACACTTAATCCTAAGTGTCGGTCCACAATAAGTATTTAATCTTTAAGCCGTAAGAAATTGACTAATCATAGTCGAGTATTCTTTTCATATTCGATTATAATTAGTCAATTTCTTACTTCTTAAAGCTTAAATCACCTATTGTGGACCGACACTAATAAGTGATTTAAGCTTTAAGAAGTAAGAAATTGACCAATCATAGTCGATTATTCTTTTCATATTCGATTATAATTGGTCAATTTCTTACTTCTTAAAGCTTAAATCATCTATTGTGGATTGACACTAAAGCGGTATCTACAATGAAATTTTAAAGCATAAGACTTAAGAAATTGGCCAATCATAATCGATTTATAGAAGAATAACTGATTGTAGATTAAAGTCTCATTGTAGACGCTGCTTAAGTCCTAGTCTACAATAAGTGATTTAAGCCTTAAGCCGTAAGAAAATAACCAATCATAGTCGATTATTCTCTTATGCTTCGACTATGATTCGTCCATTTCTTATAGCTTAAGGCTTAAATCACCTATTGTAGACCGAGACTTAAGCCAGCGGCACACGATGCTTTTTTTTCTGCTGATTTGCTAGCTGGATTTGTGTGCTCGTTGAGCTCTTGTCTCTGATTGGTATATTCTTTTGGATCTAAAAAAATATACCAATCGAAGACAAGAGTTCAATAAGCACACGAATCCAGCTAGCAAACCAGCAAGAAAAAAAGCATCGTATGCCGCTGGTTTTATGCTCGACTCGACTCGGAAAGTCAACAAATTCAATATTCTTTCTCTTAATTCTTCATACTTATGCTCGCGTTTATCGTAAATTATTCAAGTCGTCCATCTACAAGGAATCGCATAATCCACGATCATTTCTCGGACAGATTCGTGATCATTCGCCTGCATACGCCTCCCCAAGTGCTACGCTCGGTGGAAGAGTGGTGGGGAGAGCAAAAGAGATCTAACTTTACGTCAGTCATATCAGCAGTGCTCGTTCTCGTGTTCGTAGTTCTGGTGGTCTGTTTCTCGAGTCGTAATCGAGATAGTTTGGGTGTGAGGAGAATTTTCTTGGGAAAGAGAGACCATTGCCATTGCGTCACCTTCATCGTTATCATCATCATCCTCGTTGTCATTGTCATTGTAGTCACTTCGCAATCCCGTACCTCCGTATCTCCTCCTCTCTCTCTCTCTCTCTCTCTCTCTATATCTCTCTCTATCTCCCTCTTTTAATTCCCCTTATTCTCTATATATCTCCCTGTCCTTCTCCTTCACCTCTCGTATCGTGCGTATTGTGAAACAGTGTGAAACGCAAGGCGGGCAAGCAGTTCCGCGAAACGGGATTCATTTGCGAGCGCGAGTGGCCGAATGTCCCGTTGAGAATTATGTGGAATAGTGACGCAGAATTGGGATCGGTCGCGCGTCAAGTCAGCTGACATATTGCGCCCTGCTGCACCGCAACAGCCTTCGGTAAGTGTCGCAATTCCGTGTGCGCTCTCTACCCCGCGGCACGGCCACTACCCCGAACTCGCCGCAAACTATTTTCGGTCGGGATAGCCGTGAGAGAGACGGAT